GTCTGTGTGATGGTTGGAGGAACCTAGTGTCCTCACACAGACTGTAGTTATTTTTGTTGGGTTGGTTTAATTGGAAGGATGTCCCTTAGCTAAAGCCCTTCTGCCAACAAGTGCAGTTTAGTTATGAGAAGTCTCTTGCCCTGACCCCAGAAAGGCCTTGCAGGGTTCCTGGGATAGGAATTAAACAAAATTGAGGGTGTGAATTTAGATTATATCCTAAGTTTAGCAACTAAAGAAGTTACAGAAGGTAGTTTTGGGGATTAAATACCTCTTAATTGCTTATAACCCTTAAATGGGAACAGAGACCATCTTGTAAAGGTTACACCAGGCCAGAAATGGCATCTGCCCTCAAAAACAACCAGTAGACTAATGGAATTCAGATTATAGATTAGAATTTTATAGCATAATTAGTTGTCCGTTATGGTTAGGGAATGTTTAGGGGAAGTTGAAGCTTTCAGATAATTTTAGCTGTTTTTGGTGGTAATCCTTCTGGCCATATGATGTTCTTGCTCAGTTAATAGAGTACATTTATCATAATTTAATATTTTTGCTGAACACTTATGTATATGGTAGTTGTAGTTTATGGGATGTAAAATTAAAAGGATATGCATTCTAGGAGATATCCAGGAAAATACAGTTCAGAAAATCATTTACTTGTATCTAGTACAAGTTTAGTGATACGTAACTGTTGAACCTATAGGGCAGTGTGACCTCTCTGCCTTTCTGCAAAATAAACTTTTGAATCAACGATTGAAGTAGCGTTTTCTTTGGTGGATTTTTTTCGTAAAATCATCTTTACTGTAATCTGTGTTCCTTGACTTGTCATCAACACTGAGAGCATTTTCTTTTCATTTTCTCTCATTAACATAATGAATCATATTTATTTCTTGGTCAGTTGTAAGTCATTCTTCTATTCCACTTGGATTGTTCATTTTAAGTGAAGGAGGCATAGCCTTTAATGCGCAAATATACATTTTTTAAATAATAATGGGCTATATCTAACTCTAGAGCTTGTAAATTCTTTAACATTATAAGAAATTTTAGCAAACATAAGGTTAGGTAGTTAAACATAAACTTAAACAGAGTTTTAGTAAATATTTGATTTTATCGGAAGTCCAGGCATACCAAAACACTGAAAACTCTGTTAACACCCACATAGTGAATCCATTTAAAAAAACTTTAATGCACTTTGAACTCTGAAAGCTATTTGTCTACAGAACAGCCCAGGTGATAATAATATCACCTCTTACAACTCTGCATTGTTCTTGGATTCTCTACAGTTGTTTAGCTCTCCTCAAGTAAATCTATGCTTCTGAGACATTCTTTTGCTTCGGGTAAAAAAATAAATTAAAAGCAAAGAAATCATTTTGTCTGTCAGTCCATAAGCTTTATAAGCAGCAAGTAAATACTTTGATTTGGTTTGGGTTAGATGTCATATAAGGATAAATGGTAGTGAGCTACATGTTCAAGATGGGT